GCAATTCATTTTGTCGTGCAGGCATTATAAAGGTTGAGTTGGAGAATAATGAAGAGGCGAGGGGGTTGCGGTGGCGCAAGCAAAGTGGTCGCATCTGCATAACAGCAATCTGCGGTTATAAGACTGCGGTTAATATGTCAGATGCCTGCGGTATTCCCAAACCGGCCGTGCGGGCCGAGTTGGGACATCCCGATCGGGATCGGAGTTCATCGCTTGTTAAAATGCCATAAGGCGGTCCGGATGCGTGCGGGATTTCCGAACCGGTTGTACGGGGAGATTTAGGGAATCCCGATCGGGATCAGAGTTCAGCGCTTGTTAAAACGTCATAAGGCGGTCCGGATACGTGCGGGATCTCCCAACCGGCCGTGCGGGGTAGGTTGGGATATCCGGACCGTTCCAGCCCGTACAAAGTGTCTCATTTCCCAATCCCGTCCCACTCCGGTCCCGATCGGGGTGGTGCGGGCTGAGTCCGAAAATCCCGATTGGGAACGGAGTGGGATTGCTGGCTGGGTCACGTGACCTAAGGTCAACTTTTGACCTTTCGACCTTTCGAGGTCAACATACATATGTTTCGATGCGGATCGACGAGAGGATCACGATGGTGACATTAGTTTGTTCCTAGCTGGGATAACTTGAAAGTTATTCGAGAAAAACTTCATATATATGTAGTGCCGCAATTTTGACTTCCTTTTTGCTCCTGAGACGTCATCTTTGACCTGACCTGAAAATGACCTCAGTAAAAATTATAGACCTTATCCGTGTGTACCCTGCACCGTTTACCGCTTGTCGCTATCTTGCTTTATTCTCGAGATCTCGCTGTCGCTCCCGCTCGTAATAATGGACAGGTCATAAAAATGACCTGACCTGAGGTCAACGCAGGGCGATATCCACTTTTTTTATTTTCACATATGAATGACAATTGATAAGGCTTTAATCGTCATCAGACAAAATTGCAATTTTCAGTGGGGAAAATATCAAGGTCACTCTTCGAAAAATAGGTCAAAAGGTCACGTGATCAAAATTTTCAAAAATTGAAAATCCGAGATGGCCAAAATGTTTGTTGGCTGATTGTGAGTTGAACCATATAAAGTTTTTATCGTAGAAAACCAATAGTTTTTGAGTTATAGGCCGCCAAACATAGGGCTGCAGCGCGACCTCCAGGAATTGCCCGAGGCTATATCTCGGAAACCGTTGTTCGAAGAAAAAAATCCTTGTCACAGCTGGCTTCCCCGCCCATCACAACCCATTAGACCAATTTTAAGCAAAAAATAAAATATGAGGGTGCAGGGCACTTGTCGATTTGTCGTGGAACGCCCCTGTAGAAAGGATGGCTCGTTATGTCCACAGAGCCGTGTCACTGCTTCTCCGCTGACCGAGACCTTGATAGGTGGAGGAAGATCAATGCCTTGCCCCAGTGACCCACCCCTCACACGTGGCGCCGGCACCGGGGTATAGTGTTGTTGGTGATACCAGGTGACCGCGTTTGGGGTAGGGGTGGGGAGGGGCTGATCGTCGTGGCCGTCGTTGGGGAGGGGGTGGGGGAGGTCGGGGCCATAGCGACAGTGGACGGACCATACACACAGAGCGGCGACGCGGCCGGCATTCGTCAGTGCCAGCCGGTGCTTCCATGTGATTCTTCCGCAACGTGATCGGCTTTAATCTCGAACATAATCGGCTACTCGGTGCTACAACTGCTGACAGGTATGTAATATGTTGTACACGCAAACAAATTCACAAGAGTCGACCCTGCTCCTGTCGGCCCAAATATTCAGCAGTTTATCAGTGCATAGGTTCGACCACATGGCGCGAAGCCGTCTTCTGCTGAGTGCCAAAATTCATTCATGCTTGATATATGTATGTAGGTAGCATAGGTAGTAGGTACGCAAGCTCATGATTTGTTTAGGCTTATTACACTATGCAACAAAAAATGAAACATTTTCTGTTCCTGGAAAGCGACCGAATTTTTCTTATTCATTGGGTCCTATTATAACCGAAATGGGCATTAGTTTTGATCTGAAAATGCTTTTCCGGTTTTCAGAGACGATTTTCGATTTTTGGCCCCGAAATTCGGTTTTTGGCCCACCGTGTCCGATGTAATTGAGTAATCGACTCGCGGTAACTTTCATCGCCTTTCCTATGCCACAAGCTTTCGAATGATATCTGGTTTTGCATATTTGCGTGCAAAAATAACGTCATAAATCTATGTTAAAGTAAGAAAATGTTGAAATTTTGTAAAAATTTGACATTTTTTTCGATTTCATTTCAAAATAGAGGAAAAACTAAAGGTCCCATCCAAATTCTGAGCCCAGTTCCTTGAAGAGCATTCAATTTCCGTTCGGAAGGTACCTTTTTAGTGCATTTTATCGGATTCCTGTGGCGTCCAGATTGAGTTAACCCTCGCATGTGTAGGGGGGTCGGATGGACCCCCCATGGTTTTTCGCGAATAACTCGCGTAAAAAGCGGCCGATCGCGACGAAACTTTCAGTACCCTCGCATTGATCAATTTTACACCTACCTTGAAAATTTCATGACCCTGACCCAAATGACCTTTGACCTGTGACCTCTTTTCCGAGACCATGTTTGACCGGAATCGCGGTTTCGCGTATGTCGGCTCGCACTATCCGCGTGTTTGCAAGCTTTTCGTGGTTTCAAACGTTCAAACATGTGATTTGATGTTACTCCCGTGTGTGTCAAGGTCACCTGAAGGTCAGGTCAGGTCATTGACCTTTGGTGACCTCGGGTGACCTCGGGTCACTTTTTCGAGTTTTACATGTTTCTAGGCTAGTTTTTGGAGCTGAATTCGAATTTAGCAACCATTTGAACATTTACGAAGTAGTTTTGGTGACTTCGTAACATGTTACGAAGCTGTCAGAGGCGGTTGACACGTACTACGAATACCCGTCACGACGCCTACTGGTTGACCTGACCTGACCTGACCCGACCTGGTCTAAATGCTTCAAGACATCATCTGTGATCAAAACTAACACGATATTCGTGATCAGCATCCCGAAAAACCCCTTAGCAGCCACACTTTACGACTTTCTAACAGGTCCCGATTTTCCCGACTTTGGGTCATTGACCTGACCTGGAAGGTCAACCAATGACCTAGGACCTTAAAATTGGGTATCATCGGCTTCCTCTCGTCACGGGCAACACGCTCGTTTTTTCCGCGAAGCTCTAGCTCGATCAGGGGCCAAACGGCAAGGGGGGGTCCAACCGACCCCCCCCCCCCCCCCCTACACATTAGAAGCTGGCAAACGCCGCACACATGCGAGGGTTAACCTAAACACATATCCTAAGTCATATCACATAGCATTAACCTGATAACGTATGTTAACGCCATAGGATCAACGAGGGGTCAACTGAGGTCATTTTGTTGACCCCTTGTGACCTCGGGTCACATGCAGGAACTTACTTTTGAGCAGTCCTGTCGCTCAGAATCTTGATCTGTTGGGGGCCCGTTTTTCAAGTGACTCAATCTGGACGCCACAGTAAACCGATAAAATGCACTAAAATAGTACCTTCCGAACGGAAATTGAATGCTCTTCAAGGAACTGGGCTCAGAATTTGGATAGGGCCTTTAGTTTTTTCTCTATTTTGAAATGAAATCGAAAAAAATGTCAAATTTTTACAAAATTTCAATATTTTCTTACTTTAACATAGATTTATGACGTTATTTTAACACGCAAATATGCAAAACCGGATATCATTCGAAAGCTTGTGGCATAGGAAGGGCGATGAAAGTTACCACGAGTCGATTACTCAATTACACCGGACACAGTGGGCCAAAAACCGAATTTCGGGGCCAAAAATCGAAAATCGTCTCTGAAAACCGGAAAAGCATTTTCAGATCAAAACAAATGCCCATTTCGGTTATAATGGGACCCAATGAGTCCAAAAAAATCGGTCGTTACTCAGGAACAAAATGACTGTTGCATAGTGTTATTAGGCCTTGGACATGTTCTGAAAATTTTACATTTCAAAATTTGTTTTGAACTTTTGTTTTGAACTCCGGCCTTGATTTTGAATTTGTCCGAAAGTCGTTTTGCACATTGACTGATTTGATGATCACTGAAAGTGAACCATAGCAAAATTGATTTTTTTGCTTTCAAGTTTCAGTATGTATGTAGGTACTCGTAAAATGCAACGCTGAAAACTGTTGGAAGAATCATATATAGAGGCAGTGGCGGCGGAACACCTTCAATTAAGGGGGGAGGGGGCACTGCCGACTTTTGATCCCATTCTTTCCATGCAACGCCCTATGGGCGTTGCATGGCTCAGCCATATCCAGGCGTTATCTGGGCCATCTACTATGGACGTCAAACCCCCTGAGACCCCACTTTTTTGCGATAATTTTTAAATGCGTCAACTCTCGTTGACAATATTCTGGCAATGTGTGTTTCAGAACCTGCCGAAACTTTTATTACTAAGGTATTTTGACGCCAAACGATTATGAAAGGTACTTCTCATTCACTCGTAATGTTAAATTTCACGGAACGAATCTGCTGTTGGGGTAGAGGCTACGCGCTCATAGGGCGGAGCCACGTAATGACGTCAGCGCTAAGCTCCGCCCTACCCCTCCGGCGCTCCTTGCCCGGCGACCGGTCACTCGCGTCTCTCGCTCCATTCAGGCTTGATGGTGGGCGGTAGCTGGTAGCGGTAGCGGGCGCTGGTAGATGACATTAAGAGCAGATGGCGCTGGTGGCGGGGCACGAGTGTGGCCGAGCGCAAGCCTCTGCCCGGGCCTGAATTGACCTTAGCATTACGAGTGAATGAGAAGTACCTTTCATAATCGTTTGGCGTCAAAATACCTTAGTAATAAAAGTTTCGGCAGGTTCTGAAACACACATTGCCAGAATATTGTCAACGAGAGTTGACGCATTTAAAAACTATCGCAAAAAAGTGGGGTCTCAAGGGGTTTGACGTCCATAGTAGGCCATATCAGCCATATACTCGTAGTAACTCAATTCTCTGTTTCAGACGCCATATCGGCCGAGTCAATGGACCGGTCAGCCACCTCCAGCAGCCCCGGGTTCGCCCCGGCGCCTGGTGGGACACCGAGCCGTCTTGCGGAGACGCTGGCGCCGCCTCCGACCGCGCCGGCCGCTGACGGCCTCGGCCGGCGGCTCTTGGAGGCGTGCTCTGCCGGTGACGTGGAGGCCGCCCGCGGCGCCCTGCAGGCTGGCGCACACCCGGCGCTCCTCGATCCTGCCGGCTACACGGCCTTGCACTGTGTCGCCGCCGGCTGGCACAGTCCCGAGACCACAGCACGGCTGGTGCGGCTGCTGCACGACTGGGGGGCGCCGCTCGAGACAGCCAACGCCAGGGGACAGACGCCGGTGCTGCAGGCCGCGGAAGTCGGCAACACGGCCGCCCTGCTGGTGCTGGCAGAGCTGGGGGCCGTCTGCGACGCTGTCGACCATCGCGGCAACACGCTGCTTCATCTGGCCGCAAGCTCGGGAAACCCGCAGACGGTCAGTGCGGCGCTCGACCGCCTGCCAGCCGACGCCGTTGGACGACTCAACCAGAAAGGTCTGACGCCACTGCAGGTGGCCAAGAACCGCGAGACGGTCCGGCCGCTATTGGGTGCTGGCGCCCAGGCCGACGAGCCCACCGCCCTGATGCTGCTGAAAAATATGCCGTCCGCCATGCCCGACGTGCTTGACCGCTACATGACCACCAACGGCCAGCCGCTGGACAGCTCACAGCTGGAGGTTTACCTCGACTACATGCCCTTCTGGGACGTGGAAAGGAAGAAGCCGGCGCCGGAGACGGCTCTTCTGCGCGCCATCGTGGATGCCGACCAGAACGAACTGCTCAAGCATCCCTTGATCGAAACATTCATGCACGTCAAGTGGCTGCAGATTCGACCCTTTTTCTACTTCAACTTCGCGTTCTTCGTGTGTTTCGCATTACTTGTGACAGCTTACGGAATGCTTCGCACACGTCAACCGAACGACAGGATAACGCAAGTGGTTGGACTTCTGACGGCCGTCTTCACCGCCCTGACCGGCGTTCGAGAACTGCTCCAGGTGGCTCACGGTGTGCGCTCCTACTTTGGCAGCGTGGACAACTGGCTGGAGCTGCTGCTGCTGGTGCTCAGCACTGCGCTGCTGGCAGTGCCGGACGCCCAGCAGTGGTGGGTGCATCACGTCGCCGCTTGGCTGATGCTTGCCGCCTGGCTGGAGCTCACACTCATGATCGGCCGCATCCCCGCGGTCGGCATCTACATCTACATGTTTGTCCGCGTGGCGCAGAAGCTGATCGGCTTCCTGCTGGTCTACTCGCCACTGCTGGTTGCGTTCGCTCTCAGCTTTTATGTCGTGTTCGGGGAGACGGACGCCTATAAAAGCATCCCTCTGTCACTGATCAAGACGTTCGTGATGATGATGGGAGAGTACGAGTACAACAGTGCATTTATTGATCACAGCCCGACTTACCTGGGAACTTCGCACGTCCTGATGGTTCTGTTTATTGTTAGCATGCCAATCATCACTGTGAACCTGCTCATAGGTCTGACCGTCAACGACATCCAAAGCGTGTTCATGACGGCAGGGTTGGAACGACTGCGGATCACCGTCATCCAAATCCTTCTGATCGAGTCACTTCTATACTCCGACCTTTTACGTAAAATATGCTGTTGGGGGTGCTACAAAGGATATTTGAGAAACCTCGCCGTTCTGCCCAAAATGTTTGCAACGTCTGTCGATCAGCACTTATCTAGGGGATCGAGAGCATGCACCGCTGCAAAAAGGAACCGTTTTCGTTCGTGGAGCAGTGAACCGTGTGGAGTGCAGCCGCGTCCGGTCCCAGAGGCCCAGCTAAGGACACCTCGTGCAACATTCCGACCCAATGCACCCGACAAACTGCGGATGTACTGGTCCGACGGTCCGGGTCGGCTCCGGTCCTCTGGTTTTGTCGTACACAGTTGGATGGTGAACAACATGCTGCGGCTGCTGCAGGAGCGTGAGGACCGCGCCGACCAGGGCGAGCCGCCGATACCGGCACGCCTGGAGGAGCTGTCCACCGGCTCGCCGGGAGCGGGCCGTCGGCGGCCGCAGGCGGCGGTCGAGCGGCCTCCCGGCGACGGCGACGGCGCCAGCAGGGTGGAGCAGAAACTGGACAGGGTGCTGGTCTCGCTGTCGGAGCTCTCGTTGAGGGTGGGCGTGCTGGAGCGGTGCGTGGCGCCGCCGGAACGGCACACGCCGGCGCTGTGACCGACCGGCCACCGCGACCTGTCGGGGCGGGGTCGCCTGTTGGGGTGTCGGGAGGGGCACGCTTTGTTGATTGATGCGGGAAATACACGCATAAATATGTTAGGCATAATGCATAAAAATGAAAAGCACCATTTTTTACACAAATAAATTTCATACAAATACGAACAGTGTGAATGCGAATACGAACTTTGTTGATATCACTATCAAACGTCATGCACGTCTGACGTCACACTCGGGCAGGACCGCGCCCTGAGCGTGACCTCACCCTTTGACTTCGATCGATCGCCGCCCCGGCAGCGTGAGTATCCCTGTTTCGCAGAAATGCCCCATATCTTTACCGCCCGGCTGAAACTGACGTCACGGCTCGCGGAGCCGTAACATGACGTCACAGGCGGCGGCGCGGCGGCCGCGGGCCGAGCGGCGGCGGCGGCGGCAGTGCCGCTGTCAGCGGCGGGCGTGGAGTGTGGGGTGCGATAGTAAGGACCGCTGGCCACTAGTGGACAGATAGCCCTGGCGCCCACAGAGGCAGGTGAGAGCAGTGTGATCTGTGGGTAGGAGTAGGACAGTCAGTGTTGTTCTGGTCTGACGTGTCGTGGTGAGGGAGCGTACTGTGCTATCAGCGGAGACCAGGCGCTCTCGCCGCAGAGGTCAGGCGCCGGACGCGTCGCGCCGCGCTTGCCAAGGCCGGCCGGACCCGGGCACCAGCGCGGCGCCAGTACGGCCGCACCGCACAGTACGGCGGCGACCGGCGGCGCCAACACAGCCGGCCGACAGCCGGCAATGTGCGCAGTGTTGGCCGGGGCGGGGTGTGGCCCGAGTGAATCTGTTTGCGTGCCAACGCCTACTGAGGAGCATAACGTGGTTTCTAGGAACCTCCGACCACCCTAGAGGATCGCCAAGGTATCCAGGGATCAGTAAAATAGCATTGAGCGCTTATTAAATGGTATATTTTAATGTTCAAGAAGTTAATTCGCACAATGTCTACAAAATACGTTAACCCGCGCGGGGCTGGGGGGGTAAATTTTACCCCCCCTCGCGAATTTTTGCGATATCTCAAAAACGGCGGCGCGCAGCGCCGCCAAACTTTCAGTACCTTTTCTTACATCAATTTGACACGTTCCCTGAAAATTTGAGCGAAATCCGTCGCAAATTTTTTGAGAAATTGACGTTTTAGTGACGTCATGTTCGCCATTTTCGCCTCAAAAACGGCAAAAGTTCAAACGCCGCTAACATCTTCATTTTTAAAGGAATCAAGACGTAACAAAAAGGTTATACGTAATTTTACTTTGTCTATCAAATGGCTATCTCGGTTTTTTGAAAATTTTGGATTTTGGCCTAAATTTTTTCAAAAAACTGACTTTTTTGGGAAAATCATTATAAAATCCAAAATTTTGAGTCTATCGAAAAACCGGAACATATGTCAGAGAAGTGGTCTATGTGCACCTACATACCAAATTTTAGAAGAATCGGTTCAAAAATGTGGGAGTTATTCAAAATTTTATGACGTCACGACACACAATTTTTTTGAAAAATGACTTTTTTGGAAGTTCTAGACCTCGTATGGAAACAAAAATAGCACTATTCGATTCGCCGTGAAAAACTGCATCAGATAGACACCTTTTTAGGCCTTAACAACCAACTTCAAAATTTGACCTCACTTGACCTGACCTTGACCTGACCTCGACCTGAAATTCATCCAGAGGTGGTCCATATCACTTATTGAGTGTGCCTATTGAATTCTATGAGTAAAATGACCCATAAAACATGTGTAGCACATGCCCTTTTCTGTATTTTGTTTTTTGGTGACCTGACCTGACCTGACCTGACCTTGACCTTGACCTCTGAATGATATTGTATGCAACGAATATTGTCTTGGTAGCCTAAGAACACGTTTTGGGCGATCAGTCTCAGTCCATGACTCCATCCTTCGGCAAGTACGGTGCAAGGCCGATACTGTAGAAACTTGCAATTTGTACCCTTGACCTGACCTTGACCTCAAACTTTAAATTAAGTACATGTTTTTAGTAGTTCGTGATGAGAGCTTTCGATTGGCGTTTGAATTTTCCAAATCGGACCATTAGTTCGGGAGATAACAGGGGGGGGGGTAAAATTTACCCCCTCCCCCAGCCCCGCGCGTTCGGCTGGGGACCCCAGCCCCGCGCGGGTTAACAAAGACATTGTCCCGCTTCCATAACACCGGGCCTATCCACCATTCAGAACAAAGATAATTTGCCGAGGAAGTCAAGATTACGATATCAAAGTGCACCGTAAGCCTGCCGGCGCGGCGGTGAGATAACAATAATAACGTGCACATTTCCTTGGTCGATACGCTTGCCTGCGCCTTCAAGGAAATACCTAATACATGCTTGGAATTAAATCATATAAAATCCTATCATAATAAACGTTGGATGGATGAATAGTAAGGATAAGGGGGCAAAGGCCCAGCCCCAGATAAACTTTCCAGATTCAATATCTCTTTTCGTTGAAAATTTGAAGAACAACCAGAGACCAGTAGCCATTACCTAGCTTTTTTCGAATTATGACTCAGATATACCTATGCCTTTGCAATTTGCTTCTTTTGACTTTTGCACCTTGCGTTTGTTAGGTAAAGAATGACACAATAGCTACATAGGCATAGGTAAGAGGTTTAGTTTAATCGTTTTTTACTAAGCATATAACAGTTACTGCCATAGGTTACTTTTGTTGCGCTCTCAGTCGAGAGAACACGTAGTATTCTTTGTTTCGGACATCGCTTGAGACTGCTTATCACTGTACATAGGTATGCTTATCACTGTGAAATTGCAACTTAAAACCCGCGCCCCGCTGGGGGGCAGAATCTGCCCCCCCTCCCGTTTTTCGCCAATAACTTCTAAACACGTTATGCCAGCAACGTCAAACTTTCAGTACCTTATCATACATCAATTTGACACGTTCCCCGAAAATTTGAGCGAAATCCGTCGGAAAATGTTTGAGAAATTGACGTTTTAGTGACGTCATGTTCGCCATTTTCGCCTCAAAAATGGCAAAATTTCAAACGCCGCTAACATCTTCATTTTTAAAGGAATCAAGACGTAACAAAAAAGGTTATACGTGATTCAACTTTGTTTAGCAAATGGCTATCGGTTTTTTGAAATTTTTGGATTTTAGCCCAATTTTTTCACAAAAATGACTTTTTTGGGAAAATGTTTAGAAAATCCACAATTTTGAGTGTATCGAAAAAACCGGAATATATGTCAAAGAAGTGGTCTATGTGCACCTACATACCAATTTTTAGAAGAATCGGTTCATAAATGTGGAAGTTATTCAAAATTTTATGACGTCACGACACACAAAAATTTTGAAAAATGATTTTTTTGGAAGTTCTAGACCTTATACGGAAACACAAATAGCACCATTCGATTCGCCGTGAAAAACTGCATCAGCTAGACACCTTTTCAGGCCTTAACAACCAACTTCAAAATTTGACCTCACTTGACCTGACCTTGACCTGACCTCGACCTGAAATTCATCCAGAGGTGGTCCATATCACTTATTGAGTGTGCCTATTGAATTCTATGAGTAAAATGACCCATAAAACATGTGTCGCACATGCCCTTTTCTATATTTTGTTTTTGGTGACCTGACATGACCTGACCTTACCTTGACCTTGACCTTGAATGACATTGTATGCAACGAATATTGCCTTGGTAGTCTAAGAACACGTTTCTGGCAATCAGTCTCAGTCCATTCTTCGGCAACTACGGTGCAAGGCCGATACTGTAGAAACTTGCATTTTGTACCCTTGACCTGACCTTGACCTGATCTCTGACCTACTTAAGCAAAAAAATTTGGGCTCTTAAGATCCGCCTTGTTGAGAGCTTTCGATTGCCGTTTTCCCCGTCTTTCTACGACCATCGGTTCGGAAGTTAGACAGGGGGGGCAGAATCTGCCCCCCCCCCCCCCCCCAGCAGGGCGCGTATGGCTGAATAGCCCAGCGGGGCGCGGGTTAAAGGATCCGCAGGTCTCGCCTGAGGATCTCGTCTGCTTATACAATACCATCCTCCAACTATCACTATGGCCACTTTATTTGAAAAGTTTATTGAAAAGCAAACATAGAACTTGAGGTAGAGTAAATAGGTACCTAATGATATAATAGGTCATGTTTCATGTTTATAATAGGTCATGTTTATAGTCATGTTTCGCTCCTCAAATCCGCATCCTTATTGACAATAAACAAACTATCGGTAGGCATTCGTTCGTCACCTCCAATTGTCATGCACTCAACATCACACAGCACACAGCTAAAATATTTGCGAAAAATACTTTAAATGGTCTATGTATGCATACAATACTTTAAATGTAGCTGCAGCAACCTCTTAGGTATGTGTAAATAGTTATGCAGGAGGCCCGTCTGGAGCGCCGGGGAGGTATCCCCCAGCTCTCCCTGACCGGGGAGGTATCCCCCAGCTCTCCCTGACCGGGGAGGTATGTATCCCTCAGCTCCCCCCCCCCCCCGGGCCGGGACAGCACCATGTAGCTTGAGAGACGAGCCCAAAAATCATCATGTGTTCAATTTTAATAACTATCCTGTCTCTATTAATATGATGAGTGTGTTTTGTGTCAACAATAAGCTTGAAAAAGTTAAATGTAACTATGCTGATGCACAATCTGTTTGGTAGCTCCAGCCGGCTGTGGTAGGTATTAAGAACTGTTTATGCAGTAGTGGATGAAGTGTTCGATCTAGGTTCTATTGCCCACTTACGTCAGCAATATGGCGGTTTTATTTACATCGGGCCCAATGCGCTGATCCGCGACTTGCACACTGTTACAGATCCAACATGGCGCGCTACATCTCATCGCCGTCAGAGGATGAGGATGTCCTACAATCCCTGCTGCCCGGCCAGCTGTCGAGCGATTTCCTGACGCACCAGATGAGCGCCATAGTGCGCCGGACCATCAGTCAGGATGGGGCAGAAGCGGCGCACCCGGCCGCCGACCCGCCGCCGGCCGGCGTCAGTCAGGAGCGCCGCCTGCTCTCCGCCTGCCTCGCCGGCGATACGCAGCAGGCCGCCAGCGCGCTCGACGCCGGCGCCGACCCCAACGCAAACATGCGCCACGTCACAGCCGGCCAGCGAGTCCGCCTCGGCAGCGAGACCAACACTCGGCCGCGCTTACGTGTGCCTGTGCGTCAACAGACGTTACCCTCCATGCTGCGACCTACTATTTTGCTCCACTTGGTGGCCGCCCTGGGTGACACCGCTATGATGGAGCTGTTGTTACGCCGCGGAGCGCGGCCCGAAATCAAGGACGCCGTTGATACGACCGCATTGCACGTGGTCGCAGCCGCACGGCATCCGATAGACGTCACTATTGAGCTGGTGCGGCTGCTACACGACTGGGGAGCCCCGCTCGAGACAGCCAACGCCAGGGGACAGACGCCGGTGCTGCAGGCCGCGGAAGTCGGCAACACGGCCGCCCTGCTGGTGCTGGCAGAGCTGGGGGCCGTCTGCGACGCTGTCGACCATCACGGCAACACTCTGCTTCATCTGGCCGCAAGCTCTGGAAACCCGCAGACGGTCAGCGCAGCACTCGACCGCCTGCCAGCCGACGCCGTTGGACGACTCAACCAGAAAGGTCTGACGCCGCTGCAGGTGGCCAAGAACCGCGAGACGGTCCGGCCGCTATTGGGTGCTGGCGCCCAGGCCGACGAGCCCACCGCTCTGATGCTGCTGAAAAATATGCCGTCCGCCATGCCCGACGTGCTTGACCGCTACATGACCACCAACGGCCAGCCGCTTGACAGCTCACAATTGGAGGTTTACCTCGACTACATGCCCTTCTGGGACGTGGAAAGGAAGAAGCCGGCGCCGGAGACGGCTCTTCTGCGCGCCATCGTGGATGCCAACCAGAACGAACTGCTCAAGCATCCGGTTGTGGAGACGTTCATGCACGTCAAGTGGCTGCAAATTCGGCGTTATTTTTACTTCAACTTTGTGTTCTACGTGTGCTTCGCATTGTTGGTGACTGCTTACGGGATGTTGAGAGTTATGGACCCAGAAAAGCCGACCACCACGGTGGTGGCTGGCTTCACAGCCCTCTTCACCTTCCTTTGCTTGCTGCGGGAAACTTTCCAGATGGCGTACAGCTGGCGACTCTACGTAAGCAGCATAGAAAACTGGCTGGAGTTGTTGGCCATAGGACTTACCACAGCACTGCTAGTCAGCCATAACTCGTACCGTCCTTGGGTAAACCACGTAGTTGCATGGCTCATGCTGGCCACATGGCTGGAAATGACCCTCATGGTGGGTCGGTTTCCCAGTGTCGGAATCTACATCTACATGTTCGTTCGTGTTGCACGCAAGCTCATTGGTTTCTTGATGGTGTACTCGCCGCTGCTGGTCGCCTTCGCTCTCAGCTTCCATGTGCTGTTTGGGCTGACGCCGGCGTTCAAGACTATCCCCCTGTCTCTTATCAAGACCTTTGTCATGATGATGGGCGAGTATGACTACGATGGGATGTTTTCCGGGAATGAAGGCCCATCGTACCCGGGTACTGCGCACCTCCTACTCATCCTGTTCGTGGTCAGCATGTCCATCATCACCGTCAATCTGCTGATCGGCCTGACCGTCAACGATATCCAGGGCCTCTTCAAGACGGCTGGCGTGGAACGACTTCGGATGACCGTGATCCAAATCCTGTACATCGAGTCGGTCATCTATTCCAACATCACACATGTGCTTTTCCGCACTCGTGTGTGTCGGCGAATGCAGGAGAAGCTGGCCCTTCTTCCGAAGCTGCTCCTACAGAATGTGGATCACCACTTGTCTGGCGAACCCGGCTCGCCCAAGGCAACCAAGCTTCCCGAGAGAGCCGACTCCACAGACACTGAGAAAGCGTGCTCTAGCCTCTCGGGCGAATGTCCCCTCGTTCGCGCCGCCTTTCGACCAAACGAGAAGGGTCGCTCGAGATTGTATCGCTTCACGACGTCGGACGAGCTGCGACCCACGGCGTTCACCGTGCACAGCTGGATGCCGCGCAACATGCTGCTGCTGCTGCGCGAGCGTGCCGCCGCCGCGGATCGCGAGACGCGCGAGCAGGTGTTGCAGGCCGAGATTTTGGCCGCCGTTCGCGCCAAGACGGAGAATCCGTTCGAAGATGCGCCCGAAGCAAGTCGCAGTGCACCGAGCGACCCGAGTCCCGATGGCGATGGCGCTCGCGGTGCTGGCGACGGTGACGCGGACTCGGAGGATGCAGGGGCGGACGGGCGCAGTCGCCGCGGACGACGCCGACGGCGCAAGAAGGCCGTCACAAGCCGCGAGGCAATCGACGAGCTGGGTCAAAAGCTGAACACTGTGCTAGCGGCCATATCTGAAGTGTCGCTCAAGGTGGGACTTTTGGAGCGACGCGTTAACATGCAAGATCAGGCTAGGCTCGATACTTTCTATTCTGCTTGAGTCGTGTCACGACGCGAGTACATATTTCGCTCCTAGCTGATCGTTTTGTCACTGTGGCTGAACCACGGTCAAGTTGTTAACTGTTGGGTACTAATTAATTTGTTGGTAGGGTGCGCTTTTCGTGCATGTGCAATGTGCGTTATATAGTAGGCAATAATCGGCCAGTGTTGTTTGCTCACAGTTGCTGTCACAATTAGCCACACAAACTGCAGAGGTCGCTCAAACAGTTCTTACTTAGCATATTTCTGTGCTAGCCACCGGTGGACGTATAGGCAACTGTGTACTCCTATTCATCTCATGCAGCAGCAATAATGGGTTGAATTTAAAAATGTGTAAATGGCGTGAACCAGATCACATATATGCACAATGGTTAGGTTAGTTTCGTCGTATCATAGAAGTAGGTAACCGAAGGCTTGTTGTCAATAGTTAAAACACTATTCTTTAGAATTGTGTTTTTCTATTGAAAAACAAATCTGAGTTCCCTGACAATTTGGCAAAAGCTTATATAGGTACGTACCTATGGAACCTTGTCTTAGAGCGTTTTGAACAGGCTGAAATAGGTTCTGAGTGGGATGGGCATGGTGCATGGGGCTGTGAACTCGAAACCGAAAAAAAATCCAGCAGTGTTAAAATTTGGCATTGACAGGGTGTCGAGTGACGACTGTCAGTGCAGAAAATTAATCCCTGATAATAAACATACAGCGAAAGCATCTAAAAATTCGCTTCACACAAATGACATAACCAATCCATCCTTGACCTCAACCATGCTTTTCAGCTTGGTTCGTAGGGAAATGAAGTGTTGCAGCTTTACCATTGCGCTGTAAAACGGAAAACAAACGAGCATTTTACACTCGTGTACTGGATGAATTCACTCTTATCCTGATTTTGTATGATAAGTAATAACCGCACCACATTTCTATTTTCTTCTCACATTGGAATGCTATTTATTTGTATTAAAGGTGATGCTCATGCCTGCGATTGATAATAAAAACAGGTGAAAATGTCTTGTGTAATGTGTTTTTATCATCGTAACACATAATGCATAGGGGAATGTGGGGCAATATGGGCACCCTAAGAAAACTTTTCTCCTGCTCCTTAACCCGGCACCGCCTGCGCTATTTCCGTACCCACAACAGCCTGGGGGGGGGTCGGATCCGACCCCCCCCCCCCGTTATCTCGAGAACCAATGGTCGTATCGAGCCCCGCGAGGCGGCGTTCGAAAGGTCTCTACGAGACCTTCCCAAAGCACTCTTAAGATTTTAAGATTGAGGTCAACTTTCGGGTCAAGGTCAGGTCAAAGGTCAAATTCAGGGGTTTTGCATGATTAGGCTTACGGACAGCGGAATCGATAGCTGCTGCTCGAAACTCACCAAAAATGACCTCAAAGGCCTAGTGAAGGTACCATGTGCGTATAGGGGGTCATACTAAGTACGGGTCAAGGTCAGTTCAGGTCACGAAAGGTCACGGTTTTCAATTTCTGCTACATGGGCGTGCGACACATGTTTTATGGCTTATTTTTCACGCCGAAACCGATGGTAATGGTTATATGTGACCCCAAGTCACTGTGCTGGTGATAAGTGTGCATTGAAAGCATAAAAAATCGTTTATACCCTACATAACTAAAGGAGGGCTAAGAAAAAAAGTCCATTTTTCAACTTTTTATTTTTGACATAAAAATACACTTTTCTAGACGAGCTTTGTCCCAGGAATCTAGTGGTGCCATTTGTTTTCACATGCGATGTTCAGAAGTGCCTCTAATTCACGAAAATGTTTATGACGTCACCATGCCCTATGCATGTTGGAGCTATTTTTTACAATTTGGTGGTCAAAAATCAAGATAGAAAGTTAAAATTTGGGGCATCTAATGTTCTAATAGAGCTCTACAACATATATTCTGGTTTTTTGGAAATTCCCAAAATTTTGGATTTTATTAGCTGTTTTCCAAAAAATGTAGTTTTTTGAATTTTTAGGGGTGAAAAACGCATTTTATGGAAAATCCGAGATAGCCATTTTAAAGAACTCGTTGAGCTGCGTCTTTTCATGTCCTTAATTTGCAATTTGCTTTAAACCCTGATTTTTGGCGATTTTTTAAACATTTACCACTTTTTGACTAAAAACGCCATGTAGTTACATCACTAAAATCGATATATCTAAAAAAAATTTGGAATTTTTTTCTTAAAAATTGCACAGGAGACGTCAAATTGATGGGGGAGAAGGTATGCCAAGTTTCAAGTAGATAGCGAAAGTGGTTCATGAGTTATTCAAGAAAAACGGAGGGGGGGTCGGATCCGACCCCCCCAGGCGGTCGCGGGTTAAGGAATGAATCAAAACTACCGTTTATGGTGCTAAACGAGACCTTGATGTCTTGCTGATTAAGTGCCAGTGCATCTACCTACTTGATCATCCAGACGTATTAAGCTAGATGCCGGCAGCGCTCTTGAGTCTTGCGTTGCCTTGGGCCAGAATTGGAGGAACGGAACTGAGGGCACACACCGGACAAAACAACGTCAAAACGTCAAAACCTCACGTCAAAACGGTTCTCCGACCCCGGCACGTGCAGCCTGCACCCCTCGCAGACGATGACCCCCTGGAAACTGGTTCAAGGTGTTACCGATGTGTCCCGCCAGTATGGCTTTGCCCGTGACCTCGGGTTGACTTGTAGTCTTGACAAAAAAAAAATCGTGTCACCGAAACTTTGAAGCGGAATATAGCATGTGCCACGAAGCACCGAGCGAACCGAGACAAGCACCAAGTTTACCTCGCCGGAGACGAGTCGAACGGTCCCACTTTCGTCCCCATCGGTCCACCCATTTTGACTACAGGTTCAAAAAAGCTTGGACAAACTCACACACACACACACACACACACACCCACACACACTGACAAACATTGGACAAACCGTAAGAATCTTGGGACAAACAGGCTCAGCCCGCTCAGCCTTGGCTCAGCCGAACTTGTTTCAGCCAGGGGGCGTCGAAGTCTAGTTCCTACCAACCTGGCACTCCCATGCCTACGTCACCACGAGGACGCCCGAGGGCATTTACATGTTGAAGATAGGGAAATTGCCATAGTTTAGAGCCGCCTAAAGGGCAACCTTGAGATAGATGATAATGTAAATGTGTGCTAATATGATCATCAACATGTTATTTATCCAAATCCAGGGCCGATTAATCGATATATTGTCACGTTTTCCAGTGGTGATGCGCTAACTTTCGTGGTTCTTGCAGCCAATAAGGGCGTTTCATAGTGCGATTCAGCCGCATTATCGACTTTAATGCCATAAACCGCCACGGAACATACGATTTGCAGCTCCCTGGCGTGATAGCTGCCAGAAGGGCTCCGGAGTCGGAGTCATGAAGTCGGTCGGAGTTGACAGTTCTGACCTGAGTCGTCGAGTCGGAGTCAGAGTAGATTTTAAAAGCTGGAGTCTGAGTCAGTCACCGAATTCGATCCATTCCCCTCCGCAGACCTTTCAGGGTTCCGTAGTCGGAGTTGTAGTCGGTCGGAGTCAACAGTTCTGACCAGAGTCAGTGTAAGAGTCGATTTTGAAAGCCAGAGTCGGAGTCGGAGTCACCAAAAATCCATTGCCTCCGCAGACCTGCTAGCGTTGTGGAGTCGGAGTCGGTCAGAGCCGACATTTGAAATCAAAGTCAGAGTTGATTTTTGAAAGTCTGAGTCAGAGTCGGAGTCATCAAGAAACCCATCGACGATCCGCAGTACCATGCAGTAATGGGCGCTGCCGATCGATGCCCTGAATTGCCTATGAATTGAATGAATAGATGACAATCAATTAGGTACCCAGTAAACATGCCGACGTCGGCCCAACGTCGGTTCAACATCGGCCCGACATCGGCTGGACGTCGGATATGCCCGCATGTTCCGACGTCCAGCCGAAGTCCAGTCGACGTCGAGCCGACGTCGGGCCGAGGTCGTTTGCCGAGGTTGACTAGATCGTTTGTCGTTGGACCGACGGGGCCGACGTCGGCATATTTATTGGGGCAACGCGCCAAAAACATCAACCGACGGCGGGATTCGAGCCCCCCAGTCGCCGACGTCGGCATGTTTACTGGGACTACACGCCAAAGGCATCAGCCGGCGATGGGATTCGAACCCCGTGTCATTTGAACGCGAGGTTAGTGCGCTAACCACTACACCACGCAGCCAGATAGCAATTTCAGTTTGTTTTGTTGGGTTATGCCCTTTCGGTCTGACAAGACTATTTCAGAGCCGGAAGGATGATAGGATGGAGACATTGGTCTTCTTGGCGAGCACCCTGGGTCCAGTTCATATAGAGTCCCTGCTGGTCTCATTGCTGTTACGTGACACTTATTGAAAAGGGCGACCCCCACAATGGATTCATAGGGGTGTTCCACGACAAATCGACAAGTGCCCTGCACCCTCATATTTTATTTTTTGCTTAAAATTGGTCTGATGGGTTGTGATGGGCGGGGAAGCCAGCTGTGGAAAGGATTTTTTCTTCGAACAACGGTTTCCGAGATATAGCCTCGGGCAATTCCTGGAGGTCGCGCTGTAGCCCTATGTTTGGCGGCCTATAACCCAGAAACTATTGGTTTTCTACGATAAAAACTTTATATGGTTCAACTTACAATCAACCAGCAAACATTTTGGCTATCTCGGATTTTCAATTTTTGAAAATTTTGATCACGTGACCTTTTGTCCTATTTTTCGAAGAGTGACCTTGATATTCTCCCCACTGAAAGTTGCAATTTTGTCTGATGACGATTAAAGCCTTATCAATTGTCATTCATACGCGATAATAAAAAAGTGGTTGTCGCCCTGCGTTGACCTCAGGTCAGGTCATTTTTATGACCTGTCCATTATTACGAGCGGGAGCGACAGCGAGATCTCGAGAATAAAGCAAGATAGAGACAAGCGGTAAACGGTACAGCGAGATCTCGAGAATAAAGCAAGATAGAGACAAGCGGTAAACGGTACAGGGTACACACGGATAAGGTCTATAATTTTTACTTAAGTCATTTTCAGGTCAGGTCAAAGATGACGTCACAGGAGGAAAAAGGAAGTCAAAATAGCGGCACTATACATATATATGAAGTTTTTCTCGAATAACTTTCAAGGTATCCCAGCTAGGAACAAACTATTAGCAGTTAGTTAGCACCATCGTGATCCTCTCGTCGATCCGCATCGAAACATATGTATGTTGACCTCGAAAGGTCGAAAGGTCAAAAGTTGACCTTAGGTAACGTGACCTATAAGGTCAACTTTTGACCTTAACTTTTGAGCACTCATCTGGAACCCAAGGCTCCCAGTAAACATGCCGACGTCGGCCCGACGTCGGCCGACGTCGGGGTGACGTCGGCAACTCGGCATCGGCATTCCGACGTCGGCCCGACGTCGGTCCAACCTCGGCACGACGTCGGCTGGATGTCGGATATGCCCGCATGTACCGACGTCCAGCCGAGGTCCAGCCGACGTCGGGCCGACATCGGACCGAGATCAATTGCTGAGGTGCAGCCGACGTCGGGCCGACGTCGGGGCGACGTCGGACCGACATCGGCCGCTGTTTTGACCGTTAAAATAATATAAAATACATGTTTAATATTTCATAAAGAGCTTCTGTATTCAAAATATCCTCAGGAAACTTAAATCTTCCTCCACGCCGCAACCCCCTGATCCGGACTGGACGGGAAACTTTATCCCATTTGGGATTGCCCGTAAGCCGAGCTCGCCCGTAGCCGGGTGCGTTGAGTGCTTGGGGGCTGCTCGGCCTATCCTTTGGTCAGGCTCAGCCCCGGCAACTCACCAGGGCCGGGCCCAGTTCATATAGAAAGGTTAGCACCATCGTGATCCTCTCGTCGATCCGCATCGAAACATATGTATGTTGACCTCATATAGAAAGGCCAGTCGGCAAGTGTCACTTTGCCAAAGTGCCACTAAGCCACTTATCAAAAGGACACTTTGGGAAACGTTGGTGCAGGTGTGTAAGAGTGGCTATATGAATCCATTGTGGGGTCGCCCTTTCCAATAAGTGTCA